GATGAGGAACTCCTCCCCCTTTTTTTTTCCTTTTATGACATTAAGATTTATGTACACTGAAGCTATAATATTTGTGACTAAATTCCCTCTATCGTCCTTTATTGGGCCTATCTGCTCCTTTCTCCCCTTTTTACTGTTTATATATATATATATTGGTAACATTTGTGGTTTTTTTTTTTTTACTATCTATGGCAATATGTCATTCGCACTCTATTTTAGCCGTCCGTATTGCTAGTTTGCATCTTTTATTGCTTTCTTTGTAATTGTGGAACGCCAATGCCGTCCCCTCTATCTTATATTTTATGAAAGCCATTCGCTTTTCCTTTATGTGATGCTTTACATTTTTATTCAGCCATACAGGTTTTGTTTGTGATCTTTTACTTTTATTACCAACGGTATACATTTGGCAATGGCAATATGTAATGTGTTTTTAAAACATTCCCACTTTTGGTCCATGTTTCATGACCTTAAACCTTTTAAAAAAATTAGGCGTTTATCACTACCCTCTGCATCTGTTCCTGCAACCAGTTTTCTACCTACGTACATACAATTTCTTCAATGCCAGCATACCATAATTTGTGAATTAAACCTTTGTAGGCTACAGTATCTAATGTTTAAGTAAAATCTACTGGCACTCTCCTCTCCAAATTACTGCTCACTCAACAGGTTGGTATGACAAAAATGACCCATAATAAACATGCTAGTTGTTGCTTATGATACCATTTTTAAAGGCAACGTCTTGAATATAGGCCCTTACCATTCCCTCAAATGCTATTGAGGTTAGGCTGACCGGCTAATAATAACTGGTGGACCCTTTTTTTGAATATCGGTACATTTGCTTATCAGTCATTAAGGTGTAGAACAATGGTCGGGCCGTAATTTAAACATACATTTGATTAAAAAGATTGCAAGAATTTTCAACCGTTTCAATTTGATATTTTCTATTTAACCCACCACCTATATTTTATAAGATACAATCAGAATATTAAAAAACTGTTTCATGTATGGCCACCTATAGACTGCACATATAAAAAGAGGATAATCATCAAAATAATCTCACTGTGTACGGGGAAAGGAGTAATGATGCAAAATTAGCTGGAGTTGTCCAATAGTAAACAAAGTTGAACACTGGGAACGTTCTCATGAATTTGAATTGGCAGTCTAAGGCCACACAGTGGTGTCAGGGCAATGGAGGTAAATATAAGCATCATGCTAAAATCCCCCTACCATTGAAGTGTTTTTTTATGTTCTTTGGACAATGTTCTTAATAAGCCGTGACATTTATTGTTACCTGTGTGTTTTCTTGCATGAGTAATTAGAGAACTTGATACAGCAAATGATTTCCCACATGTGTCACAGACATATGGCTTTTCTCCTGTATGACGGCGGACATGGTATGTCAGGGTACTGGCCTGTGCAAACCTCTGACCACATCGGTCACAGACATATGGCTTTTCTCCACTATGTTTTCTGTCATAAAACAAGTAGAGCACCGGTTAGTGTCATTCTGGAAAGTCTAAAGAAGTAGAATTAAAGATGCATTTCATAAGTAAAATAAAATACATGCAGGGGGCATAGGACACATTTTTCTCATTGTGGCACAGCTTAAAGCAGAGGTTCTCAACCTGGTTAACCTCAGGACCCACATTAGTCCTTGGTCATTAGGTAGACACCCAAGTCCCACTGCAATGGAATGCACGGTGGAATGCATTGCAGACGATCGGACTGTGGGCTGGAGGTGCGTTTGGGGTGTCAATCAAATGAATGGCAATGCCACACACCTTCCACACCAGAAAGCGCAGTAGGTGCAATTGCATGGTACGGTGCATTAATCGCACGGGACTGTGCGATTAACACACTGTACTAGTGTGAACAGACCCTCGAGAACACTGACAGGCACACACACAACCATTCTCATACACACACACAAAAAAAAAAAATTTCTTTTTTAAATCCAATCAGTCTCCCTACCTTATGAGAACTGGAATGGATCCTCAGACTGGGGTCCAGTGTGGGCTGCTATGCTGTGACAGAGCTCCATCCATAATGTGCATTGTTTCTACAGCTGCCTTGCACGCACTGTGGAGGTGCTGGGAGCCAGAATGTGATGTCAGTCCAGGCACCTCTACAGGGCAGAGCTGTAAGCAATGTACATATGAATGGAGCTCCCTTATGGACATACTTCCAGCCCACCCACCTCATGCTGACACGCAGAGACAAGCAACATATTTTGAATGGCTGCTCGGCCCGAGAACTGACGGTGCTGCGCTATGGGAGGCTGAGGAGTCTCTCACCTAGAAAAGTGGAAGGCATGTGGCGACCCACTGAACATGGGGTCATGACCCACTAGTTGAGAACAAAGGGCTTAAAGTATATCTAAACCCAATCAATAAAATCTCATATTAAGGTGTATGTCGAGGCAAAATTTAAAAACACATGAACATGTGCATCTCTGCATGTTACCCTGTGTTATATTCCTTTAAACACCATGCAAGTACAGACAAATACCTGTTGATCTGCCAGAAATTCACCCTATTGTGGGCCGAAAGGAAACAGCAAGTTTGTGGACTGAGTGATGTCCGCACTGCCCAGTGTCTTTTGCTAAACTTACTTGGCAATCATTCTGTGGTCCAAGATAAAAACTTGGAGGGCTTAACAGAGAGGCAAGAATACACAGGAACGCAGGACAGCTCTAAATTTCTGACAAGATCAACAGTTGTTTTTTTTTTTGCACTTAGCGAACAGATATAACAAAAGGCTTCCAATAATATATTAAACTGACTGAGAGGCTGCAAATAATAGAAGAGCATTGATAGTGTTTACATACACTCTAATGCAATTTCAAAGGTGATGCCTGGTTACCCTGACATGTTCAGGCACTTTCTTTTATGGGGTGACCATTGTCTTCCATTTGTGCTCTCTGTCCTGTCACTAGGTCATATCCCTCTCCAGAGGAGACTACAAGCAGCTATGCCAACACACATTATGCAGGCATGGTCCACTGCTGTCACTATCAGGAAGCTGGTCCAGAGTAATCATCTGCAGCCAATGTGGTCATTGTAGACAAAAAGTGTCTGAAAAAGACTGGAGGAAAAACAGCAGCACAGAGATGCAAAAAACCTTGGCATGGCAAAACAGAAAATAATTTGCATTTAAACACAAGACCGAACCAAACATGGCAATTGTTCGCAATACACAGTGCTTTGCCAAAATAAATTTCATCTAGTTAGTGTAAAGATCTTTTTCCAAAGTAGACTTCATTGTGCAACATGCTGAGGTTGCCAGTAACCGGTCATTCTGCAACAACACCGAATCCTGAGTAATGATGTGTACCCCATTCACCTGAGTTCACCCAAGGCTGCTCAAAACTCTGATCATCAGAGAAGGGGGTGGCGGTCAGAGTTTTGAGCAAATTAAGGCGAACTTGGTTTGCACCAAGCCCAGACTCATCTCTAATCCTGAATCTCCACCCAGCTGAAGCTCTTTACAGATACTGATTTTTCATACCCAAGGACCCAACCCCCCGCCCCCTTCCAATTTTGTATGTCTATGTACATTAAGTAATTATTCACACCTCTCATTAGCTATTGTATTTTTCCATATATTCCTCAGTTTTCCAGCACTGATGGATCAAGGCTTCACAGCATGGAATGAATTGCAAGAGGCTTCCCAGAGGCACCCTTAATGCCCTGCTTAACCTGCATCCTTTTGGCACACACTCTTATCAGGTCTAGCAGGTAACCACACTATTTGTGTGAATTTTAAAAGTAAAAGAAAGATCTAGGCATTCTCAACTGTTCCAATTAAAACTACTGGTGCCCTCCCTAAGGGTTAATTTGCTTTTAACCCCCTCTTACCTTGTGCGTTGGGTTAAGTTCAGATAGCACACTCACCTGCCACCCTGTGATCCACTCATCTCCATCGCACCTGGAAGAGAACCATAGCTGCCTGCGCATGCGGGGCAGATCCACTGCATCCGCAGACATAACGCTGGTCTCTTGCAGGTCAAAAAGAGACATAATGCATGCCTGTGCATTTTTGCGAGATCTTACAAACTGCCTCCTGGGATGGCAGTGGGGCCTGGATACGTCATTCTCATATGGTGGAGGATTAAGTAAGGCTAATAAAATTGTATTGTTTTGTTTTTTAAACAAAATCTACAAAATTGTGTCAGAGGGAGGAGGCAGGTGAAGTTGAATGGGTGAAGGCCACTTTAATGCTGGGTCATACTGATGCATGTCACTGACCTAGAGTGAATCTTCAGATTGCTTGAAGTTGCGAACTGTAGATTGCACACATCACATTTGTATGGCTTCTCCTCTCCATGATGCATTCGTCTATGAAAGATCAACTGGCATTTCTGGCCAAACCCTTTATTGCAGAGTTTGCACTGATACGGCTTTTCTCCTAAGGAAAACAGGAAAAAAAAAAAAAAGCTGTTTAACTAGACACTTAACTATATCACTCATTCTAAGGGTGCCCACACACCTTACGATAATCGCAGGAAATCCCGCGATCGTACGATGTGGAAGCCATGCAACCTCTACTACTGTAAGGTCGCACGACTTTTAACTTCCGGACATGTTCAAAAACCCGCCGAGCATCGTACGATGTTCGGCGGGTGTGTAGCATGTTTGTAAGATAAAAGCCAGGCGGGCCGGTGTGCGCAAGCGCACCCTGCCCGTTCGGCATTGCGGTCATTGGAAGCCAGCCCCTCAGGGGGGCACGGCTTGCGATCATCGCAAGTACGATCTGCCTGTCCAAGATGGGCAGATCGTACGTTTTTTAAAATTACCTTACAACCATCGCAAGACAACCATCGCAAGACAAAAGTCTTGCGATGGTTGTAAGGTGTGTGCCCAGCATAATAGTTACCGGTCATTGCGAGAAATAGGCTGCCACTGCTGGCCTCCTCAAAATTGTCATTGCCCAACTTTATTACGGTCTACAGTAGGGTATACACTGGTAGATTTTCAAACCAATGTATCTATGAAAAATGTCAACGTTCAATAATGCCAGACACTTGACAAATGCAAAAAATTTCGTTTTGATTTAACATTTAATTTTGGAATGAATGGAGTTTCCTAAAAGAAAACCACATTCACTATAAGAATTTTGTTTGATCAGGAAAAACATTTTCTAATGATTTTTTTTGGCCATTGTGGTCGAAATTGACCATCGATTTGACCCCATCAGCTAAGAGAAAGTCAAATGTCCAAAATGTATTTCGTTCGTACGAAATTCGTTCAATGTATACCCTACTTAAAACTGACTGGGAATAGGTGTACAGATAAAAAAAAAAAGGTCACAGTTCTTATCTGCATACTTGTTTTGTGTGATCAGGCCCGGATTCCCCACAAGGCCACCGAGGCCCGGAACATGTAGTTCCGGGCGCCAAGTGGGGAATCCGGCCGTTCGTTTACAAGTGATTGCGGCGATGTCGCCGTGATCACTTGTAATGTGTGCAGTCTCCCCAGCCCCCGCCCGCTGGTCTTTTTTTTTTGGGCACATTGCGGAACCTGGCCTTGGGGCGGCAGGAAGAGCAAATCCGGCCCTGTGTGTGATTGATTCTATGCAGATAGTCTGCAATGATCGATGATAGACAAATGAGGCGAGTGACTCAAAATACTGTATTTATACATTAGGATCACAGCAATTGCCAGGTTTCTTGCATTTTCAGAAGGAGAGCTCTAGTTCTCAATCACAGGGGACATGTCAGACCTCCGGAGAACAAGGGTCCTTCTCTACAGCACGTTGGTAGAGGATGGGCTTTTCTGCTGAATATGTGGCTTGCTCATAAAGACAATGAACTCGAAGACTTTGTACACCTTTTATTCTGGTGCAGTTTGAAAGTAGTTAGCTGATTTAAGAGGAGTCCAATGGAGCTTTAATGCCATGGTGACATTTTGTCCTAAACATGGTGGCTGTTTCTTCTAGAGGGCTACAGGAAGCTGGCATCATGTTTAAAGGAGAACTATGAGGCGAGTGCTTTTTACTCCTCATAGTTCTAGCCGACCTGTGACAATGAGACTGTCACAGGTCGGCTCAGTAGATCGGGAAGTGAGCGAACACATATCGGCGTTCGCTCACCTCTCGATCCTGTCACGGCTCTCTGCCGTGACAGGGGAGGGGATGGATTCCCCCCTCCCATCTGCCTGGAACGGACGGGGGAGGGGGCAGCTGGCTCTGCCTCTAGATAGGCAGAGCCAGCTATCAGTCACGCAGCTGGGCGGATCCCGGCACAATTGTCTGGATCCGCTTCAGCGTCTCAGTATAACGCCAGCAGCTGCTCGCGGTATACTGCGGTGTCTCAGTATACCGCGAGCTACAGCTCGCAGTATACTGAGCCTAGGGTGACGGGAGGTCGCTAGTTTGTGTCCTCCCATTACCCTAAGGAGAACTATGTGGAAAAGACTTAACCCCATAGTTCTCCTTTAACATAAATATATAGCATTATGTCTGTGCAGCTTCAGAAATAAGAGGGACACTTATTGCTGCTACTGTACCATACTTTTACAGACATTATTAATGAGCTGTGTACTAACCATATTACTGAAGCCTATATTCTGTAGGGATGCACCGATATATCGGCCGGCGAAACATATTGGCCGAAAATTGCACTTTTGGCGTAATGCCGAAAGTGCCATTTTCCTGCCGATACATCGGCGCATGCGTGATTTCTTTTCTCCCCGCTGGGCGCTGCTCTATGTCCCAGCGGGGAGAAGAGAAAGTGACAGCCGGCCGAGCGCTGCGGTGGAGAGCTCGGAGCGGCCGGTGTCTCCTCCCACACTGCTCTGCCGCCTATCACAGTCCGGCAGAGCGGTGTGGGGGCGGAGACAACGCTGTCACAGGAGGCTGGGCTTTTCTCCCTACACCGCTCGATCAGTCTCCTGTGACAGCATGTCAGAGAGAGGAGCAAGGTACGATCGCTGAGTGTGTGTACATAATTGAGAATATGGTATGTTAACTATATCCTCAATTATGAATGAATGGGAGGGATCTACATCACCCCCATTCATTATAATTGTAGTTATAGTAAACAAACAATGTACTCATGTTATCAATGAGCAGGAAGACTCAGGATTCCTGTTCATTGATAACAGTGGACACAGAAAAAGAGATTGAGGACTTTGTGTTTTCAATCTCTTTTTCTATTTTAAAAAGGGAAATATCAGGGGTCTGTTTAGCCCCCTTATATTTCCCAGAAGCCCCTAAAAGTAAAAAATATTTAATAAAAAATAAAATAAAAAAATTTGAAAAAATAAAAAACATTTGCGGTATCTGTTTCGGCCTGACATTTTTTTAAATTTCGGTTTTAAAATTTCCATTTCGGTGCACCTCTAATATTCTGCTTTCTATATGGTCACATTAATAGTATATTGGGTGCGCGCAAACATCTGTTTGCAGAATCCATTCAAGAATAGAGCACATGGATAATTTAATTTGTACAGCCACAGTTTTTACAGAGACACTGAAGTATTATAGAATACCAACCATTCCGGAATCCACACTTTGCCTGTAATAACTATTCCACTGAAAAGTTAGTGCTGCACAACCAGTCTATTCCTTCTACAAGCAAGGTTGGAGGCACTTTTTCTGTATCCCAGTGCTGGACAAATCCCCAGAGCCAGGTAGCCAATGCTCCCTAAAAATAACAGCTGGCGCCCAACTGTTGAGTTTTCCTCTAGTTGTCAATGGAGCTGGCTTCTAAATATTTCCTGCTGGCTCCTTGATTGGACAGACTGGCTCCTAAATTCGATATCATTTTGTCCACCCCTAAATTCAATATCATTTTGTCCCCCTGAGTGTATCCAATAACCAGCATTCACCATTGCTATTAAAAAATTATATATTATGGACATCGAGGAACATACAATATAAAACGTTACAAAACTTTCTAACACGTTTCAGCCAAACCTGGCCTTAGTCGTTGCCATACTGTATCACAAAGGAGCGCCTTCTGGAATACCCAACCCTTAGTGTAAATAAGGATGCAGGCAAATCCTGGAGTGGATGTTTACTTCAATAAAAAAGTGACATGTCAGAAATATATATCAGTAAAGTTACTAGAAGGTGTACTTTAAATATGGAAAATGTAGTCTTACCTGTATGAGTCCGTACATGTGTTTTCAGCTGGTTACACTGTGTAAAAGCTTTTGCACATAAATGGCAAACATACGGCTTGACGCCTTTGTGAATCCGCATGTGGCGCCGGAGGCTGCTGCCTTCTGAGAAAACTTTACAACATATACTACATGTAGGCTTATTCTTGAAGTATTTCTGTTCAATGTCCTCTGTCATGCCTTCCATTTTGCAGACATCAGCTGCACCTGTAATGTTACTCATATAGAGTTCTTTTGACTTGATGTATTTCTCCTGGGGCTGTACCACACGATCGTCCTTCCGAAGGTTTTCACAGTTCAGCACGGTTGTAAAGGATAGTAAGCAGTTATCTTTAACCTGGGGGGGATGTTCAGCCAACGTTTCATCCATCTGACCTGCATCCGTGCTCAGAACAGAGCTGGTAAGTGGAATCTGCTGCTCAGAAACCTTTTTTAGGCATATTTTATGAGAGAGCATTGTCCGTTTCCATTTCTTACTCCTAAGAGATTTTTTATTTGCAGTTTTTTTGGCTAAACATATAGCGTCTGTTTTGTCTGTATTACTTTTACTAGGTGTGTGATAAATAGAAGAGTCTTCATGTGTATCTTGGAAGTCCTTAGCTAGGGGTACCTCAGTAACAAAGGAGGTCACCTCCATAGTGGTGTCCATTTTAGGTATGCATATTGAAACAACTTCATCTACCCTCAGAAATTCAGCAGCTGTATATATTTCTTCTATGTTACATCTGTGTGAAATAAAATAAAAAGCAACTACAGCAAACAGCTAAATACACAGTTGAAACACAAGTGGCGATAGACTTGTTCGGCACTGCACATACTTTTCTGCTCCATCCACCCCTACCCTGTTATATATCTGCATAACAATAGAAAGTGACCAGGTGTTGCCGATCTTTCAGCTCTCCAGACCTCATTCACGTCTTTCCTTCTCCTGTCCCCTCTTTGGGTTGATAGTGAACATTATCTCAATGGCACAGCCTTTGTCAACCAGGGTGCCATGTTACCCTGAAGCGCCTTTGGGCTTTGACAGGGGTGCCTTCAAATTTTAGCATAGTGTCATGCATTTCCATGATGCAGACAAGACGGTCACCTGCATAATGGCAACCCATGGTGCTAATCCAGAGTGGGCTGCACCTGGGACCTCCATAGGCATTCAGAAGATGACAGTCCACCTTCGTCAAGATCTGCTCCACATCCCACCCTCTGCCATGCAGCAGCACTGTGGTGGGCATTATATGGTAGGTTAGAGGGTTATAAGATAACTCTGATGTGAAATAGGAACAGAGGACTCTGACATAAAAAGGAGAGTGGGGTGGACGAATGCAACAACTTTTTCTTTTGTGTATGTACCCCCCTTAAATGCATAACAGACCCTTATAGGAGTCTGGTATAGATTTTGGGTAAAACCACAAGTCATTTTTGACATGTCTCAATATTTTGCATTCTATTAAAAGGTGCCGCAACTGAAAAAAAAGTTGAGAAACGCTGCACTAGCAATGACGAAACTGTGCTTTTTCTAATGCCATACCTAGGAAGAACACAGAAGATCACTGCAAACAGCAGTCACAAGATCTTGTTTTCAATGTTGATACATTACAATGTAAATACTCCAGTCATAGATTTCAATCCCAACCGAACTTTCAGTTTAAAAGGAGAACTATGAGATGAGTGATTTCCACTCACCTCATAGTTCTAAGCCGACCTGTGACAATGAGACTGTCACAGGTCGGCTCAGTAGATCGGGAGGTGAGGGAACACATACCAGGTTCGCTCACCTCCCGATCCTGTACAATGAAACTGTCACAGGTCGGCTCAGTAGATCCGGAAGTGAGCAAACACATACCGGCGTTCGCTCACTTCTCGATCCTGTCACTGCAGAGAGCCGTGACAGGGGAGTGACTGGATTCTCCCCTCCCCTGTCCGATCCTCCCGCACTGACTGGCGGAACAGATGGGGGAGTGGGCGGGTATAGCTGGCTCTGCCTCTAGATAGGCAGAGCCAGCTGTCACTCACGCAGCTGGGCGGATCCCATCATCTACATCGGGATCCGCTCCAGGTGCGGCGTCTCAGTATACCGCGAGCTTTAGCTCGCGGTATACTGAGCTTAGGGTAACGGGAGGACGCTAGTTTGTGTCCTCCCGTTACCCTTAGGAGAACTATGGGGAAAAACACTGCCCCCATAGTTCTCCTTTAAGGCTAGGTTCACACTTGCACTACACGACACCCGGGACGCATGTCCCTCGAAATGCAGGCAGCGATTGCCGCGCGGCCCCATTGATCTCAATGGGGCGACATCCGCGTGGCAATTTTGCTCCACATCCCACCCTCTGCCATGCAGCAGCACTGTGGTGGGCATTATATGGTAGGTTAGAGGGTTATAAGATAACTCTGATGTGAAATAGGAACAGAGGACTCTGACATAAAAAGGAGAGTGGGGTGGACGAATGCAACAACTTTTTCTTTTGTGTATGTACCCCCCTTAAATGCATAACAGACCCTTATAGGAGTCTGGTATAGATTTTGGGTAAAACCACAAGTCATTTTTGACATGTCTCAATATTTTGCATTCTATTAAAAGGTGCCGCAACTGAAAAAAAAGTTGAGAAACGCTGCACTAGCAATGACGAAACTGTGCTTTTTCTAATGCCATACCTAGGAAGAACACAGAAGATCACTGCAAACAGCAGTCACAAGATCTTGTTTTCAATGTTGATACATTACAATGTAAATACTCCAGTCATAGATTTCAATCCCAACCGAACTTTCAGTTTAAAAGGAGAACTATGAGATGAGTGATTTCCACTCACCTCATAGTTCTAAGCCGACCTGTGACAATGAGACTGTCACAGGTCGGCTCAGTAGATCGGGAGGTGAGGGAACACATACCAGGTTCGCTCACCTCCCGATCCTGTCACGGCTCTCTGCCGTGACAGGGGGAGGGGCTGGATTCCCCTCTCCCCGCTCCGATCTGCCAGCACTGACTGGCGGAACGGACGGGGGAGGGGGCGGGTACAGCTGGCTCTGCCTCTAGATAGGCAGAGCCAGCTGTCACTCACGCAGCTGGGCGGATCCCATCATCTACATCGGGATCCGCTCCAGGTGCGGCGTCTCAGTATACCGCGAGCTTTAGCTCGCGGTATACTGAGCTTAGGGTAACGGGAGGACGCTAGTTTGTGTCCTCCCGTTACCCTTAGGAGAACTATGGGGAAAAACACTGACCCCATAGTTCTCCTTTAAGGCTAGGTTCACACTTGCACTACACGACACCCGGGACGCATGTCCCTCGAAATGCAGGCAGCGATTGCCGCGCGGCCCCATTGATCTCAATGGGGCGACATCCGCGTGGCAATTGCAGAAAAAAGGTACAAGTACCTTTTTTGCGATACACGACGCGCGGCTTCGTGTTCGGAAGCACAGGTTGAATAGTGGCGGGAAACCGCGCGATCCGCCCTGCGTGACTGGGGTGCAATTAGAAAATAATGGCACCCGCAGTGTGATCGGTTAACACCTTGGCAACTCCTGACCACGTTGCAGAGGTGATTTCAAAATGAATATCACCGCAGCACACACTGTATGCATGTATGAACATTTACCATCTTGCAAGCCCAACTCCAAGTACTACCTCCTCCAGTCAGTCAATCTACATTTATATATTCACCCGATTTGATTTTCTATCTAAGAACACTACAATATCTCTAAAAACTATTTGTAGAATAATAAAGATGAATTGCAGGCAATTTTTTTAGGAATATGTTAATCTGATATTCTCCAAGCTTCCCCTTCCACTTATATTTTGTGAGCCCAATAAAACACCTAACATTACTTTCATTTAAAAAAAATGTCCACCATTGGGCTAAGGTTAGAAGAGGATTGGGATTAAAAACCAACTGCACTTTTAGTTTAAATCAGCTGAACAGAATACAGGTGCATCAAAACAAAATGTGTTCAGAATTGTACAGCTCTTTAGAAAGCAGCCGCATGCTCAGTAGAAAAGCCTGGCCCCTGCCAGCATGCTGCAGAGAAGAACCCTTGCTATTTGTGTAGAAGCAGTGGTCTTTCTGCAGAAGTCTGATCTGCCCCTGAGTCAGACTTATAACTCTGAAATCAGCAAAGCAAGCTCAGTCACCCTATTGATTGTGCGGTCTCTCTGCAGGGGTCCAACACACCTCCTGCCGAGTCAGAGCTCTCTAATCGGCAGAGCTGCAGCTCGTGGTGTGTTGGACCTCTGCAGAGAGACCACTGCTTTCACACAAAGAACAAGGGTCCTTCTGTACAGCTTGCTAGCAGGGGACACAATTTTCTGCTTTGCAAGTTGCTGCTCTCTAAAGAAAATGAACCGTTAAAGGTGCCCATACACCTTACGACCATCGCAAGACTTTTGTCTTGCGATGGTCTTACGCTTATTGAAAGCTTCTACGATCTGCCCACCTTGGACGGGCAGATTGTACTTGCGATCATCGAAAGCCCGCCCCGCTGAGGGGCGGGCTTCCGATGATCGCAATGCAGAACGGGCAGTGTGCGCACACCGGCCCGTTCCACAGCTATCTGACGAGCAGGTTAGAAACCCGCCGACAATCGTACGATTCTTGGCGGGTTTTCGAGCATGTTGGTTCGACAAAAGACGTGCGACCGTACAGTAGAAACGGTCACACTGCTAGATTCTCGTACGATTGCGGGATTTCGCCCGATTCTCATACGAGAATCGAGCAGTGTATGGGCACCTTAAGAAACACAGGCACACCTTTTTTTGAATGCACCTGGAATGTATTTAGCTGATTTAAACTGAAATTGGGTTTAAAACAGTTAAGCTGGCCATACACCTTACAATTATCTGCAGATTTTCTCTGGTCAGATGGAAAAAGTGCAACAGATTCCTCCATCCACGCTAAAGTGGATGGAGGAATCTCCCACTGGGCCAAGCTTCAGTATCTTTCTAGTCTGCCCTGCTGGCTCTCAAAACACCTGAACAATGCCTGCATCCAATCAGACTGTCCAGGTATTTTGGAAGCCAGCGGGGCAGACTAACAAGATACTGAAGCTTGGCTCAGGTGGAGATTACTCCATCCACACAGTTAGGTGCAGATGGAGGAATCTGTTCCACCTTTTCCATCTGACCACAAAAAATCTGCAGATAATTGTAAGGTGTATGGGCACCTTTAGGCTGTGTGCACCCAGGCTTCAGATTGAAGACATGACAGCTACCTTGTATGGTAGAGAGGAGGCTTTCCATCAGATATGGGCACAGTGGATAGTGTTTCAATCTTCCACAGAATATATAAGGTATATTCAGCAATAAGAATCAATAAGAGTAGGAGTGGTGTGAGGAGAGGGGATGGGGAGAAGGATGTTGTTTTTGTTTAGGGAAAGAGGGGAAGGGTATCAATAATTTAAGACTGTTATTGCATATGGATAAATATGTGTTTATTATTAGGACGTAAATTTGATATATTGAAATAGTGTTATATATTGGCTTGTGTAAAATTAAAGATTTAAAAAAACAAAACCCCCTGCAATTCTGGAAAGTGTGTGGGGGGTGGGGGGAATGGTTGTGATCTGATACAAGTTTCATGTTAGCCTTTAAAGCACCCTTAAAAGGAGAACTATGGGGTCAGTGCTTTTCCCCATAGTTCTCCGGAGGGTAACGGGAGGACACAAACTAGCGTCCTCCTGTCACCCAAAGCTCAGTATACCGCGAGCTGCAGCTCGCGGTATACTGAGACGCCTCAGCTGAAACGGATCCCGACAATTATGTCTGGATCCACACAGCTGCGTGAGTGACAGCTGGCTCTGCCTATCTAGAGGCAGAGCCAGCAGTACCCGCCCATTCCCTCGTCCGTTCCGCCAGTCAGCGCTGGAGGGACAGCGGAGGGGAGAATCCAGTCACTCCCGTCACGGCTCTCTGCAGTGACAGGATCGAGAAGTGAGCGAACGCCGGTATGTGTTCGCTCACTTCCCCATCTACTGAGCCGACCTGTGACAGTCTCATTGTCACAGGTCGGCTCAGATTATGAGGTTGAGTGAAAAGCACTCACCTCATAATTCTCCTTTTAAAATACATGTAAACCCAACCACTAAAATCACATATAATCTTTAGTGGGAGAACAACATGTCAAAGTCCTTTCAATCTATAAATCTACAGTCTTCAGTGGAAACCTTAAACAGCCATGCCAGTGTTAAATGCACAGGCATGTTCTGTCAACGTCACCATCAAGAAGTCTGAGCAATGACATGCAGCGGCCTCTAGATCTGGATTAACATAACACTTTGATAAGAGATCATTGCACTAAAAGACTAGATAATAAATACAACTGGTTTCTTACCTATTGAAATGCAAGTCACCACTATAAATAAAATCCAACATTGTCTGGAACCCGGCTGGTGTCACCATCTTCTGATCCAAATGTACAGTAGAGTCCAAAGTGTCCTGGAATAAGGCCCTGAAATATTCACTAAATGAAGCCAACACATTTCTGTGTGCTCTATATTGGATGTCATCGATCAGGATGGTGCAGTCACACAGGAAGCCAGCCTCCCTTTGTGTATTTAACTTATCCAGTAATTGCCGACAGTGATTAGACCACGCCATGTTATCAGGATGGGCAATGCCATACCTAGGAAGAACACAGAGAAGATCAGTGCAAACAGCAGTCACAAGATTTTGTTTTCAACGTTGATACATTACAAATACTCCAGTCATAGGCTTCAAGCCCAACTGAATGTTCAGTTTAACTCAGCTAAATACATTTCAGGGGCATCAAAACTAAGTCTCAAGGTGCATGTATGCCATACAAAACTGCACATGTTTTTATGCGTTCAGGTACATGGCAGCTTCTGCGTTAGGCAGCCCATTTACAAAGTGTGGGCTGCATTTTTTGCACCAAAGCGAGCCAATAGTCGCACTTCACATTGTGGTGCACTGTGGTGTGTTGCAGAGGTGATTCAAAATAAATACCACCTCAGCACATACTGTATGCATGTATGAAGAAGCCCTTACAGTTAGTTTTGTTTAGGCTGTGGCTACCTCCCAGAGTAGAAAAGTGCGTCACCTGCCAGCATGCTGTAGAGAAGGCTCCATGCTCTCTGTGTAGAAGCAGTGGTCTCTCTGTCCAGCACACCCCTGCTGAATTAGACCCAAGAACTCTAAGGAGAGTTTTATCCCTGACTCAACAGGGGGCTAGTCAAACCTCTGGAAGGGACCACTGCTTCTACACACAGAGCAAGGGTCCTTCTCTGCAGTATGCTGGCAGGGGACAGGCTCTTCTACTCAGGCTTTGGCTGCTTTCTAAAGAAAACCAACTGTAAAACTTTGCATACGTTTCGTTTTGATGCACCTAGAATGCATGTAGCTGATTTAAACTGTGTTTAAAGTGGAACTCTATTTTAAACCCCCAAACACACCCCTCCAAATAATTTATTTATTATTAAAAACACTTATATATACCATTTTCCAGTCTTTTAGCCAGTTCCAAGATGTCACCCAAGCTTCCTTTTTGTACATTGGCGGCAGTGGAGGAAATCATTCTTCCTGGACTGGGTGGTGCTCACATAATGACATGCGATTGCTGCTCAGCCCTGGGGCATTAGGGGCCCAGCCTGCATGATGATGCACCTCTGTGGGGGGTGTGATGGCTAGCTGCATTGGGAGTTCAGCCTGCATGATGATGCACTTCCATGGGTGTTTGATGACTGGCTGGACTCATAGGAACATGGCAGAATGATGCGGGTGTGATTTTGCCTGAAGAGGACTGCTGTTGCTGCTGGCCCGAGGAGGAAGCTGGGAACAGTGATGGAGCATGGAGAGGGAAGAACATTTTGGAAACCTTTGTGTAATATGGAGGGTCGGGGGTTCTACTTTATCACTTTCGTACTCGCCTACATTGTTCTGCATATGTCAACATGACATTGGTCCGAGTCCAAGTGGCAGGTTAACATTCCAAATACTTCTATACCCTATTCATCTCTGATCTGTGAGGTATGGACAGTCCATCAACAAAACAATGTATGATGTTGAACAAAGGTGGGCAAACTCCGGCTCTCCAGCTGTGGTGATACTACAAATCCCATGATGCATCTGTCTGTGAGAATCTTGCAATGATCATGGGATCTGTACTTCCACAACAGCTGGAGGGCAGGAGCTTGCCCACCCCTGGTTTTGAATAACAACGTTGAAAGTGCAGTACCCATGGCAACCAGACAAAATGTATCTGCCAGTAATATGACTTCTGTAAAAGAAAAGCTCTTGACATTGTTTTAGTAAACAGGAGCGTGTCTTTTAAGCATGGGCCAGTTGGTTGCCACAGGCCCAAATCACCATCATATGCAGCAGTTGATTCATTCTAATAGCTCACTTATTTTGTTGATCCGCTGCCATGTACCCGGACCCGCACTGCCATCTTTGTTACATCATCAAGCACCGGCTGTCACTTCCTGGACCTTGCACCTGGCCCTATGATGACACAGCATGCATACTGTAGACGCCTCTTTGGCTGTGTGACATGAGTGACCCAGAAGACTGCTACATCATTGTCACCTAGGTGAGAAGGGCAGAAGGAGAGTTAAAGGAGTACGAATGCCTCACATTTTCTATAATTAGATCTGACTGGTCCAACTAAGCAACACAATTCATAGCATTGAGAATAGCACCCTCCAGCCTGCTCTGTGCTGCATCCCTGAACTTCTGTAGGGGAGCATGCATGCAGAACACCCTTCCCAGTCACCATGTGCATGTGTAACCTGCCATTTTGTGGGTCAATGTGAGGATGCTGCCTGTGATTGACAGTGGACTTCGCTTGGAGAAAGTGTTGTCCTCTCAGGCTGTCAGGGCAGGCAGGGTCCTTACGTCGCTGTGTGGTCTTGTACTATGTGCTCCAAAGGATCCTGGCAGCTAAGAAGCCACCTTTACATCAGGCAGGAATGCCAGCTGTAGGGGCTGCAGGTAAAACTGACAGAAAGGAAACATTTCAAACATGAAGGAGCAAAGTGAAAATCTGAACGCCATCGGCTTCTTTTTAAAAATGTCCTTTAACGTCACTTTAAGAGCCCGTGCAAGTTATGTGCGCTGTATTAGGAAGACCATCCATTTTGATTTTTACCTCAATTTTCTTAACGCACTGCAGCAGACTGCTCACCTGTGTGCACTATGGTGCGCATGCACACTGCAATTTGCCTGGTGTTCACATTTATGCGCTATGGTGCAATACAACACATGCACACTGTAATTTGCTTGTTCACATTGATGCGCTGTGGTGCAATACAAGACATGCACACTGCAATTTGCTTGGTGCTCACATTTATGCGCAATGGTGCAATACAACACATGCACACTGCAATTTGCCTGTTCACATTTATGCGCAATACAATACATGCACACTGCAATTTGCCTGGTGTTCACATTTATGCGCGATGGTGCAATGCAACACATGCACACTGCAATTTGCCTGGTGTTCACATTTATGCGATATGAGCAATACAAGACATGCACACTGCAATTTGCCTGGTTTTCACATTTATGCGCAATACAACACATGCACACTGCAATTTGCCTGGTGTTCACATTTATGCGCAATGGTGCAATTCAACACATGCCCACTGCAATTTGCCTGGTGTTCACATTTATGCGCGATGGTGCAATGCAACACATGCACACTGCAATTTGCCTGGTGTTCACATTTATGCGTTATGGTGCGATGCAACAAATGTTCAAAATGGTTAGGTACCGTTGTACGGTTACACACATTGTCATGTGATTGCATGAAAAATACACATTTTATAGTGCCTTGCCTCTATGCACAGGAATAAACAGGCCATAAGGGAACCCTAAATAATGCATTTAGAAAACAACCCAAAACAAGTGAAATTCTGTAACGCAAGGGGTTAAAAAGTAAATACAGGGGAAAGCACAGGATGAGGGAGAAGGTGAGAGGTTTAAGAAGTAGGACAGGGATGAGAGGTTCCGGGAAAACAGAGGCACATGTGGCAGTTCTAATTGACTTTTCAGGTATCATCATCCTCCACAAACTATATACCGCTGAAAGAGCAGGCGCGTTGTACACAGCACAGTGTGATAGTCGATTCGCTTTCCGCAGAACTCACTGAGACTTGATGAGCAGAGAGAGTGCTAACTATGACAAATGACACAATATGTCACATAGGAAAGCGATGCGAGCCGGGAAAGTGCGCTCCATAGTAGCAATACGTACACTGCTGAGCCCCACGGTATTCACAAAGCCGCCCCGCACTCACCTCTCTCTATATACAGCCATTGTTGTAGCCGTCATACGCTACGTACCGTGTGACGTCACCACAGCCCTTTAACTCCTCAACAATACGATCTGTATCTTATACATTCATTTTTAGAATTGAAACCAATGACCCAGATTGTATGTATGATAATAAAAAAAAAAATTCGTGTATTCGACTCCCTACAGCGCCATAGAAAAACGGCTTTACATTTTAATTTCATGTTTTCATATATAGAAATAACCGAGTTATATAAAAAGCACAACGCTGCCAATTAATGTACAACAATCACGTTAAAAACAAATATAGGCAAGAGCACTGAAAGAAAACTGTTTCCGCCCGGTTTCGAACCGGGGACCTTTCGCGTGTTAGGCGAACGTGATAACCACTACACTACGGAAACTGCCATGTATATTAATCCGCTCCTCAGGCTTCACATAAACACAATTGAGCAATTTGCAATTCTTATTACAGGCTTGCTGACCAGCAAGTTACTATTATCTGTGTTCATATTGGTAGCATTAGATGCATCGTACCAGCTTTAGAAGTTCAGAGTCGTACAACCCACCAAAGCACCATCTGACACTGCCGATTGTAAATCACAAGTGTACCGTGCTAGATACGAGCTGCTTTATTCGGTAAAACAAAGCCTAGGGACAGTGTAGTACAACCCGTAGCAGGCAATATACATGAATGACGGTTGAACTATGGGCGGCTGCTATAAGCTCACTTCACTTGCATTACTACACATGCGGACTCTATCCACATGGGATGGCGGCCCGCTGCGCTGCAACCAAGTCCCAGCTCTCCCGCCACATCCAGCCGGGAAGGTCGGGCTGTCCAATCCGGGGAGAGTTGTGACGTCACACATCATATAAATGAGACTCGGGCAGAGTCCCGATCAGCGGTAATGGGAGCGGTCTAGTTTTGCTAACCCTAAGGTTGGGTCACATGGAGCTCTGGCTGCCTGTTGTTTTAGTTGCTGACGTTCAGCGGGCAGAAGAGCAATGGAAGGAGGTCAGGACTAAAAACCGTCAGCTGTAGGCTCTCCTATTCCCGCCAACCTGCCTATCCATGTGCGCTGTCTCTGCTTTCAATGTCCGCAGCTCCTTCCTATGAGGCCGCGGTCTGCCAATACCCCGGGCAGCCGCGAAGAGCTCTACTCTGTCAGCCTTTGGAACTGCGGCGGAGTAGGAGAGGCCGCTAATCATAGCAGGTGAGAGCAAAGCGAGCCGAGCTGCACCGAAATGTCTTCCCGCCTCTGAGATGTGGGGTGTGTGAATGGCAGTACGGCTCCGACATCATTATCTGCAGCATGGGCTTCTATGACTTGTCCCTGGTGTTCAGGCTTGG